CATATTATTCTAATTGTTAGCACCGCCATAAAAATACCACTCATCTGACCGAACAGTGGTGAAAAATATCATCAGTGTGCTGTTTTCACAACGGCTCAGGGCACTTCAGTGCATATAGGAGAAAATCCAAACTCCTTAGTTGGACATACAAAATTCTTGTGTACGCAATAATTAAGTGTGGGCAGAGGCCTTGCTGCACCACCGCCTTTGCTGAGTGAGGTCAGCCCTCTCTCATTTCGTATAATAGTGTCCATTTTCTGCTAATTTTTTCCTATATCAGAAAATGCATTTGGAACAGCAATTATTATACTATTGCTACTTTAACATTTATTTTCAAATAATTTTCAAATATCATGCCTCCTTTTAAAAACAGTTTGAGGCAAGTTTTAGTAAAAGAGTCATATAGAGAAAAAAATATATTGGAGAACTACTTAAACATGAGATTAAAATTCAAAACCTGTGTAATGGATCAGGATGATGGTGATTTAGCATCTAATTAGCAGTGAATATTTAGTGAGTCCTTACTGTGCGCTGTGCGCTACAGGTGCTCTCTTATTTAATCCCTAAAAATAAAAAAAAAGTGCTTGTCCTTATTTTTTAGATGAGGAAACTTTGTAAGATCTTTTTACTAGGAAATGATAGATGGGGAAGGGGAAGGGGGAATGGGGCGGGAGAGGAAGGGAAGAGAGATAGATAAGTAATACCAGAAACTTCGGCTAATTTTGCTCCGATCGTACGGGCCGTTAGGGTGGACTGTGTAAGGCGGCTCCGCATTTTCTACCACAGCGATGTCCTTCGTCTGTTTTTCTGCTACTGCAGCGTTTACTTTCGGGACTTTCTGTCTCTTGGCCTGCCCATTATTATCCTCTTTGAATTATTGTAAACTATCTATGGGACATTAAAATAATTGAATGAACATTGTACCAAGAAATCTGAATGTCACATCTATCCTTTTAAAGGCGTCCATGAACATGTTACTTCTTTTTGCCTCCTTACATACTGCGTCAGTTCGTACTCCCACCAGCAATGTGTGACGGGCCTGCTTTCCTGACCCACACAGAAATACGGTGGCGGTAAATTGTTTGCTTATTGGATAGAGTATTCCATTGTTGTTTTGCTTTGCATTTCTTTAAAGCAAAGTATCTCATATATTTATTGGGCATTTAAATTTCTTTTCCTGTGAACTTGCCTGTTCATCTGCTGCCCATTTTTCTATTGGTCTATTCATATAAGTTCTTGGTGGGTTAAGGAGATTGGCCAGTTTATTATGTGTTATGACACTTTCCATACAGTTTTCCCTATGGCTTCTTGCTTTTATGTCTTATGTCAAGAATTTTCCACATGCTGGATGAAGATTTTTTTTAATTACCCATATTTCTCTTGTAGCATTATATTATTTTTATTTTTTGTGCTTAAATCTTTTTTAATAGCTTTATTGAGGTATAATTGAGTACGATTAAATCTTTAGTTGATCTAGATTATTTTTTATTGTGGGATAAGAACTCAGCTTTGCCTATTTTCCAAACAGCCAGCCATGTGGATGGACAGCATTCGTTACATTGTATTTTGGCATTGCATTCGGTCCAGCTGATCTCTGCTTTTCCAGTTACAAACGGTTTTCATATCTATTAGGGCCAATATTCCTTCATTACGGTTCCATTGACCACAGTTTTAATATCTATTAGGGCAAAAATCCCTTCATTACTTTGTGTTATTTTGTCAAGTTATAAAAAAGAATCCACTAGTGTTTTAGTGTTATTTAGTAAAATGTAGTATTTTACTAGGATTGGGATTGTACTGAATTTAAAGATTTTTGAGAGAAAATTGATATTTTAAAAATTGAGTTTTTCTAAGTAAAAGATTTCACTTTTTATTTAAGTATAATGTCCCTCAGGAGTTTGTTTTCTTCGTGTGACTGTTGCACATTTCTTACCTCTACACCCTCCCCACCCCATGTACCATACAGAGCCTGGCCATCAGCAGGTGGTCATTAGACAGCCCTAGGGGCCGGGCGCTGCCGCTCTGCCGTCCCACCACAGTCCCGATGCACGCGAAGTTCACGGCCACGCTTGCGCGGAGGTGGCTGGGTGGGGGCTCCGCGGAGAAAGGCACAGGCAGAGTGAAAGCTGGAGGTCCCTCAGGGAGTAATTTTATCTTTTTTATTACTATCGTAAGAATGTTTTCTTCCACTTTTTTCAAATGGGCTAGGAAAACTTTTGGTACCTTTTTAATATTATTTTGTAGCCAGTATATTTCATTGATTCTCTTAGGTTTGCTAAGATTTTAGATATACAAGCATATCTTCAACTTTTACATTTTGGGGCAGATTTTCTTCTGTAACAAAGAGCTCTTTCCTCCCTCACCAGTAGAGGCTCTTGAGTTACCTTCAAATGTAGTTCCTACTGAAAAGGCAGAACACATGCTTAATTTTTTTCTCTTTCTTCGTTTCCCCCTCTGCTGTCCTCTGCTCCAGTGAAGCCATTTGGCAGAGCTGTTCTCAGTTAGCAGAAGTCATTCTGGTTAGAAAGCCTATGCTGATCCATTGTGACTGCCAGTTTGGCCAGATTTATAGCTTACGATCCATGCAGAAGAATGGAAAGGAGATTTTTCTTAGAATAATTGACAGAGCCATTTTAATCTTGTGAAATGTCCAGACCCTTCAGGGCACTTCAGTGCATATAGGAGAAAATCCAAACTCCTTAGTTGGACATACAAAATTCTCTTCTTGTCTACTTGTTTTCATGCTTCATCCATTCCACCTCCCCCGGCCACTTGTGGGTAACATGGTAGCAGTAATAACAGCAAACTTTGAGTCTTATGGGATAGATTTTTGCTAAATGCTTTGCATACACATATTTCCAACAGCCTTTTGAAATAGGTATTTGTTGATGCATGTTTTTTTAAATCAACAACTCAAGGACAATTTTCTATGTACAGGATTACTTAGGTTTTTAAAGTTAGTGTTCTATTTACTAAAGTTACAAATTAAGAAACCTGGTTCTTCTTTACATTTAATTCAGTTTACAAAAGCATAATATTTTTAAATCTAGCAAATTTTAACACTGTCTTCTAAGGGAAGTTTAGTTAATGTTTGAGTCCATTTACAAACAAACTCCTACAAACATTTTTAATTGCATTTATAAGTTTAATATATCTAATTTCCTTTAAACGTATCAGTTTTTCGATTAAAAAAACCTCCCTAGTTCTAGAATGACATAAATCTAATTAATTCAAACTTAAGAACATACAGAACCTTAAGTCTTTTAAATGTTTCAGTACTATTTGTAAGTTTAAAATCTAAAGTTAAAATCAATGGTTCATTTGTATATTTTAAGTTGGCATGAAAAGGCCAAGTTGACCACATTCTCCAAAATATAAATATGTAAAACATATATTTATATTATGATACTAAACACAGATTCTTTAATGGAAAAAAATACAGAATTAATCATGTGTTTGATTCTCTTAAACGTTTCCTTAGTTCTAGATTTTCAGGAATAAAAAGGTGTTTTTTCAGGTAAATTTTGGGGGTATCATCTCAGTCAGTTGAGATATGAGCTCGGAGTGAAGCTGAGTCTCTGTGTCCCCAACGGTCAGGCTGCGCTGCCTTCTGTCACGTCCAGGCCGGTGCCGTTGCAGGAACCCTTGGATTCTGGTTGCGTACTACCTAATTCTCCCTCCTCCACAAGGAGGTCTGCGTCTTCCCAGCCGGGAGGGTTGGATTTTGCATTTCTTTGGTCTTTCCCTTTCCCTTTTACTTTTAGAGATCTTTGAGCCTGATCCTCTGCTCTTTCCCTTTGTTTCTTATTTGGTAGGGCCCTGATTCTTACATTAAATGGCATTTATTTTAATTTTGAATAGTTTTCATAGTCATTCTGCCATCAGTATTATTATTAGTAGCTTATAGATGAGAAAACTTGAACTTCAAAGTTCAGTTCCTGCCCAAGGACAGACAGCTGGTAAATGACAGGCCTCTCAGTTGACCCCAGGCCTGATTGCAAAGCCACAGCTGTGCGTTATACCAAATGGCTGCTGCTACTCACAGGTCTCTTTCACATTAATGTGCCTTTGGGTATGCTTCTCCT